CTTCAGGGTCCCAGAAGGCTACATTATTGGAGGACACCATATTAAGGGTCCCAGAAGGCTGCATTATTGGAGGACACCATATTAAGGGTCCCAGAAGGCTACATTATTGGAGGACACCATATTAAGGGTCAAAGGCAAAAGGCTCACATTATTGGAGGACATCCCAAAAGGCTACATTATTACCATATTAAAAGGGTCCCAAAAGGCTACATTATTGAAGGACACCATATTAAGGGTCCCAAAAGGCTACATTATTGAAGGACACCATATTAAGGGTCCCAAAAGGCTACATTATTGGAGGACACCATATTAAGGGTCCCAGAAGTCTACATTATTGGAGGACACCATATTAAGGATCCCAGAAGGCTACATTATTGGAGGACACCATATTAAGTGTCCCAAAAGGCTACATTATTGGAGGACACCATATTAAGGATACGAAAAGGCTACATTATTGGAGGACACCATATTAGATATGCAAATGATACAGTTTGAAAGTAGACACAAAATAAAAACTACAATAAATACTGCAGAATATAGTAAAGAACAGCGAGAGGAAAAGACTAAACATCAATTGCAAGAAGATAGAATGCAGGGTTGTCAATAAGAGGAACAGTTTAATAACTGGGAAGTGTTTTAACAGAGGACATAAAATGTGACCCCGAAATCCGAAGATGCACTGGGATTGCGAAAGATGCCCCCTCCCACAAAAGCTAATCAAAGTAAAATTTCGTTAAAAAAAACGAAGCAACAAAGAAACGAGGTCTTAACTACTTTATAATATCGGTCTTTCTCTACGGCAGTGAATGTTGGACAATCTCATCATAGATGACGAAGAGATTGACTTCAAATAAGAGGAATGTGGTTCTACGGAAGACTGCTGATAATCCCGTGGACTGAACATGTGCGTCACGAGGATGCTTCCGGGAAAATGGAAAAGTATAAATTTAGAAGCAGAAAGAGACAGTTGAAATTCCTGGGACAAATAATAAGGACAGATGTATTGGCGAATTTGACACTCACTAGATATATGGGAAAGAAAATGGAGAGAGAGAGAGAGAGAGAGAGGTGGGGGAAAACATTGAGTAACCTTCCTAACAATCTTGTGCGAATAGATAACTACAAAAAAAGCAAGTTGGAGGGGAGTTAAAAGACAGACATTACGAATAGTTACAAAGGATAGGAAGTTGTGGAGAGTCATGATCGTCCTTGTTCTGAAGGGTTGAGGCACATAGTATGAGAAGTTAAAGTCATATAAGACACATATGGATAAATGCAGAGATAATAGAAAAATAAAGAAATAAATGTTGCTGTCCCGAGATAACGGCGGATTATTCTGTAATAAAAAAGGAAGTGAAATATGGCTTTCGGGCTACAGAAGTCAAGAACTAAGATGAGTGCGCTGATAATTGACCAGTAAACAAAAGAGAAAGTCTGCAAGAAGAAAGGAGAACGGAGTTGCAAAGAATCAATGCCACGTATCTCTTTGCGCCTCTGTCATCCGCATATATACATACATACACACACATGCACATTGCCTTTCTCTTTCCCTCTCACACGCATATACATACAAACACACATAACATTGTATTAGGAAAGAAATTGCAGACGCAGTTCTTACAAAATTTTCTCATCTCGCCTCTTTATTCAATTTCCAGTGCACATTTCCCGCCTTTTTTTTTATCAGAAGGCGTTACACCATTTTTACTCGTAGCTTAAATATAAATTCGTCTTCTTAATTCACTCGTGTTGCGTGGGAGGAACATACACTGAAATCCAAAGATGTTAGCACCAATAGAGTGAACGAAAGTATTATTCAGAGCCACAATTTGCTTTCTTCTTTACAAAGATCTCATCTTTTCCGTTTCCTACTTTTATTTATTTTCTTAATCCTGCGCATATTCCTTCTTCCTTATTTTCATTCTTTTCTTCGATTTTATTTATTGCAACTTCTTCTTCGTCTTTATTTTTACCAGCTTCTCATTCTTCTATTTTTTTCTTTCCTTTCCTCAATTTCATCTTCTTCCTGTTCTTTCTTCCTCATCAATTGGTCTTCCTTATTTTTATTCTTTTCTTCGATTTTATTTATTGCAACTTCTTCCTCGTTTTTATTTTCACCAGTTTCTCATTCATATTTTTTCTTTCATTTCTTGAATTTCATATTCGTCGTGTTCTTTCTTCGTCATCAACTGGTGTTTCTTATTTTTCTTCAATTTCATACATTGCAACTTCTTCCTCATCTTTATTTTCACCACCTCCTCATTCTTATTTTCCCTCAACTTTTTCTTTCTTATTTTCCTTTCTTTCTTTATTCTCATTTCCTTCAAGTTCTTATTTCTTCATCATCAGCTTTTCTTTCTTCTTGTTTCTCATGATATCTGTCATAATCTTCTCTATCTCCTTTTATTTCTTCTTCTTCTTTTTCTTCTTCTTATTCTTCTTCTTTTTCTTTTTCTTCTTCTTCTCATTTATTATTTTTATTATTTTCCTTTTTTCCATCGTTAGTCTTGTTTTTCTTCTTCGTTTTTGCTATATTGGATAACTGACTTCGAGGACCATCCTCCTTAATACTTCGTGGACTGGCACTACATAACCACAAAGAACTGTACTAAATAACAGAAAACACATTTCTTGAGGGCTTTCTACAACAGCAACAAATGAAATCGATATTAATCGAATATAAAATAGTCACATAAGATGTTGACTTTCTACACTATTCAAACAAAAGGTTAGAAAGTAACTTACCCAACACCATCAATACAGGAAAGAACTATAACAGTTAGCGGGCTTGAGAAACGTATTTTCCTGAAAAGAAGCATTTTAATCGAAAGATTTTATAAATTTCAATGTATAGTGTCACTGTGATATCAACAACCACCATTTCTGTTCTGCAGAGTCCTTGTTTGCATAAATGGTCTGCAATTAAGCGTTATCTGTAGTGCTCGATTTGTTCAGTTGTGTTTGTGAGTGACGCATAGTTTAAGACAGGTGTTGCAGTTCATGTAAATAGAAGGGTTTTTTTTTTCTTGTTTATCGGACCAATTTTCTTAGTTCCTTCAAACCAGGAAGGGAACTCAGTGGTGAATCCGATTTTAAGAATAATAACCATTAACTTTCTACCGCATCGATACAACGAGTGGCGTACTAACAAGTGCAAGGTTCGAACCACTTCCCGAAAATCCAATGAAAAATTTCTCAAAGTTAACACGTAGAAAAAAGACAATATTTATAAATGTAAAGACAATAGGAAAACTGTAATAGTTGCCGACGCGTTTCGTCAATGTGGACTTTTTTCTAGGCAAACAATTTTTTGCCTTGAAAAAGTCCACATTGAACGAAACGCGTCAGCAACTATAACAGTTTTCCTAATGTCTTTATATATATATATATATATATATATATATATATATATATATATATATATAGTCGACTCTCCCGTCGAATTCGACGTATGAGGGTCAAGCAGATCAGTTCCCAGGAAACCGACAGCCCGACAACAGCACGAGAGATTTGATTATAGTGGTTAAGGTTTTGTGCAGGACCATCCACACTTTTTGAAGGCCCGAATCCAGAGATCTGGTGCACTAAATGCCACAAGGTCCCAGTCTGTCCTGCTACTTTACCCATAGCTGGAGGGAGAAGAAGAGGATTCATACCTTTCCCAGGGGTATTAGCACGTAAGTGAATGTAATGGATTCGACTGGAATTCGAACTCGGTTCTGCGATTCCTCAATCCAAGCAGGAGGCACGGTGGATATATATATATATATATATATATATATATATATATATATATATATATATATATATATATATATATATATATATATATATATATATATTATTAAATATAGCAGAGCCGTTCTAATGTTCGAATGTTTGCTTTAATTTCTGGTGAAAATTAAGACAAAAATTGTCCAACATTTGGATATTTTTTTTATTAAGTTGGTCCTAAGCTTTCGGCTCACATGAGCCATCTTCAGACGGGATTTATACAGACATGAAACAGAGATATCCACCGTCAAAGATGATATTTTGTTATTTTGGCATAGAAAATTGCTATGCGACGATAACGGTCGCTGAATAGCAGACGCAGTTCGTAAGTTCAAGATGCGGTTCTATGACGTCATACCACGCGATGGACCGAGTATTACAACAGAACAAATGTCTAGATGCAATGTAATGTGTTGTGACTAGTTTGAAATGTAATTTACTCTGTGTATGTATTAGTATATATATATATATATATATGCCTTTTAACTGCTTAAAACTCTCTAACCATGATATGCGCAGTTGTTACGACAGAACAGTTATCATTCTTAGAATATGCTCCTGGTTATCTTCGTATTATATAGAGGGACTCCAGAATGTGTTTATAGTTGCATCTACTCTCCTCTCGATTTCGACAAAACGAGGACTCAACAGATCAGTTTACACTATAACCAACAGACAGACGACACAAATGACTTTAATTAATTTAATTTTGACGCTGCCTCTTTGTCTATATATATATATATATATATATATATATATATATATATATATATATATATATATATATATATATGAATCATTCATACAAAAAAAGTAGATTAGTAAATTAAATGATATAAATGGCGAAAAACATCTTTGCAAACAAATTTACTAAAGTTACATTATTCTACGAACCACTCGATGAATGTTATGATCCTTGTTTTTAATAACTTCAAGTTGTATAAGGACTTATTTTATTCTGCTAGGTACTTTCGGCTGTACATTCAGCCATCCTCAGGCATGGAAATTTTTTTTTTTTTAGTAGATCCAGGTAATCGTGGACACGAAAAATTAAATGCAAATCGAAATATGTTTTTGTTAGAAATGTGTTATTGTTAACGGATAAAAACTTTATAGATAGTATAGTATGATTCATGTAACATAAATTGAACTGCACCACATATTTGATATATATATATACATATATATATATATGTGTGTGTGTGTGTGTGTGTGTGTGTGTGTGTGTGTACGTTTTTTTTAAAGCAGATAATACAATCTGTAAATAAAAAATATTAAACAAACTGCTATCAGAGAAAAAAACTTCAATAAAAAAAGAAAAGACTAAAAACATCCGTGCAACTTGAAAATAGTCAATCAGCACCGCAATCTCTGACCAAAACAAAAAACACCGACAGAGTAACTTAAGTTAAAACGTAAAAGTGCTCAATAGACTAAGTGGAGCAAAAAAACTAAAAAGAAACTAATGATCCAGAATCTACCTACCAAGGTTTCACCTAACGGACCATCAGAATAACTCTGACTAAAGTGAGTTGGCCCAAACGAAATTTTATTGAAAAAAACTTTATTACTAAAACGGCCACCCGGAAAAAAAAAGAAAAAAAAAGGGGAAAAACAGAAAAAAAAGAAAATACACGCATATATATATATATATATATATATATATATATATATATGCAGCATGTTTTCATTGAGACATGTTTCGTTGAATAATTTACACATGTTCTGCCTACTTTCTACTATTTTCAATTGTATCCTTTCATATTCACGGATAATCTTTTTGGTGTCGTTATTGTAGGACGGAAGAAAATCGACGTGTTGATACATATTAATTTTATTCCGAGTACTTTCGACATAGTACAATGTCATCATCAGGGTATTGTTTATTGCAAGACAAATGTTGTAGTGTTCATTATTGTCGAAGACAAAAATGTTGTGTTCATCTGAAAGTTAAATTTCTTACTCGTGGAGTGAAGAACGCTGAGTCAGTACGTGATTGCTGACACCATTTAAAGGGAGGTAACTAAGTATAGTTGTGGAGAGTCTTTTAATGAAATAAGTAGTAAAAAATCTATTAGTACAAACCTTGGCATTTCAAACTATCTATTCTACACGTTTTAAAACATTTGTGGAGTGATCATGCTTAATTTTATTATGGTTTGGTTGCACTTTTTTTAATAGCTTCGAGAATTTTTAGTTTTTGTATATTTTTTCGTGAAAAGTATAGAAGTATTTTTTAGCAGAATTTTTCTGAATTGCGAATGTGAACAGGTATGTTGTTGTAAATGTTTAAAAACCTTGCACATATTATTGAAATAAAAAACTTAGCCGCCAAGACAACGAGAATATGAACGGACCCATTTGACAATAAGTCGGCAGAACATGTCTAAATTATTCAACGAAACACATATATATGACCTGAAGATTAGGTTCAAGCATAAAACACACTCATGTTGAACTCAGTCTTCACTTTATATATTATACGCGATCTTTCCTTGATATTATAATATAGCATACCGCAAAACAATATTTTTCACATATATATATATATATATATATATATATATATATATATATATATATATATTATATATATATGTGTGTGTGTGTAAAAATAAAAGTGAACATTGAATCGTGATTGCGTCTAGCATGAAATAGCCTGTCGCATCTGAGTGTTGACTTCTATGTTCAATTTTACATTTACATACGCTCTATCTCTGATATTGAGCACTTTATCCCATAAATATAGCACACCTTAAATATTCTGCATATATTGTTACCATGGAAATTTTGATTTCAATTATTAAAACACGTAAATTTCAGAAATACGTTATTCCAAAAAAAATTTCGCTTGAAGATGGAACAGAGCTTACTTTAACTCAATTTAATTCAAATAATTATTAAGTTTTCGATCTTGTTTTGAAACATGAGACCTCTTATGTCGCGAGTTGGAATCATATTTTTAAATAAATAATTATATATATATATATATATATATATATATATATATATATATATATATATATATATATATATTTCTTGTCATACATGGTATCCCAAAAATGTACTCATTCTTTAAAATGACAATAAAGGCAGTGTTTATATTAATGGTTAAAAGATTTAGAAATCTTAATGTTATTATCAATAACATATTATAATTATTAACGATTTAAATTAAATATTGTATTAAATTAAATGCATGGATCTAAAAAATGGTTAAATTCAAGAATTTATACGAAGTCAAAAAGTGAGTATATTATGGGCACCATCTTGTATATATGCATAAATTCATTTAATTTCAGTCCATATGTGTGTGTGTGCTTGTGTGTAAGTATTTGTGTGTGTACTTGTCCGTGTATTTGCCTGTGTCTGTTTATGTGTGCATGTGTTTTTGTATGTGTTTATGAGTTTCTTTGTATTTGTATGTGCACGGGTTTGGTAAATTTGATTGGTTTTACTTAAAATCGAATTAAAAATGCAATCTCTCTCTCTCTCTCTCTCTCTCTCTATATATATATATATATATATATATATATATATATATATATATATATATATATATATATATATATATATATATATATATATATATATATATATATATGTATGCCTTAGTGGGAGAGTAAGTGTATGTGGGTGGGTGTGTATGTGTGAGAGAGAGAGTAAGTGTGTGTGTATGCGTGTGTGAGAGAGAGAGAGAGTAAGGGTGTGTATGCGTGCGTGCAT